GCTAGCGCGCGTTTTTCAAATTTCTGTTGGACAGAGGAAGAAGATGAAGTAGCTGGGTTGGGCCTGGCTACTTCTTGTTTTTGGCACCCCCGCTTTCAGTTTCACACCCCCTGGCCTATTTTCTTGTATTTTGATTTTTTTGCATTTTTCTTTTCTTTTCTGACTTTTATATTTTATTTTCAAACATAAAAAATGATCCAAAAATATTTTTATAATTTTTTACACTTATTTGGCATTTATTTTTATTTTTACTAGTATTAAAACATTTTATATACTTTTATATTATTTTGTTTAAATTTAAAAAATAATGAAAATAATACTTTTATTCCATTTCTTATTTTTATTCACATTAAAAACATTTTCTTGAATATATTTTATTTTTGTAAATAATTTATTTTATTTTTTACATATTATATATATATATATATATATATATATATATATATATATATATATATATATATATATATATATATATATATATATATATATATATATATATATATATATATATATATATATATATATATATATATATATATATATATATATATATATATATATATATATATATATATATATATATATATATATATATATATATATATATATATATATATATATATATATATATATATATATATATATATATATATATATATATATATATATATATATATATATATATATATATATATATATATATATATATATATATATACTTTTGTTTTATTAAAAACTTAGAAATAAAACACAAAAATATTTTATTTTATTTTTATTATTATTTATATTAAAAAATATCCTTTTTTGGATATATTTCATTTTTATACATATTGATACATTTTTGTATATAAATAATAAATAATACCATTTCTTAAGAGATTAGGGTTTTTGCCCTAAAAATAAATAAAATTAATCTTTATTTATTTCTTTATACCTTTTACACTAAATATACTTTTTACATATATAAAAAAACCTTTTTTGCATGATGCATTTTATCTAATATTTATTTATTGTATTTATTTAAATATTGTACATTTAAATATTATGCCTTGCAAATTCAATATGGTTGTAATAATTTAGGGTTTAATTTCTTGCAAAATAATCCCCTATTCAAATTTGTACCCCCTCCCTATATTATGTTGTAATAGTGTAGAATTTAAATTCTCTCACCTTTAAGCTTTCAATTATGCCATGATTAGAATTAGGGTTTGTATGCAAAATCAAATTAACAAATAGTTTGACCTAATCAAAGACAAAAATGCATGAAAAAACAAACACAATGCACACTTACACCCCTAGGGTTACAATCCACTTGTTGCCTTCAAAAATGGGCCATGGTATGCATGTCAAGTACTTTGGCAAAACAAAAACAAACAAAAGATCATAGTCCCTCGATGACGCTATCTGAGTTGCCTAAACAAAATGATCAAGTCCCTCAAGAAAAATTGCCAAAAATGCTTGACACTATTGCTATCATGGTCTATACGATGACCCGCGCCTGTCCCGTTTAACATCCTAACACAAGGTTGTTCACCTAATACAATGGTGAAACAACACTGTTAAAAGGGTTAAAAACATAAGAAAGATCTTTGAGTAAAATAGGGTAGACAACTCTTAGTTACTTGATCAAAGCTTGCAAAAACATCCTTGCTATCTTCAAAACACACTTCACAAACACAATTTCAAAACCCTACTTTCAAACATTGAAAACTTTTCAAAAGACAAAAACACCTTTGTATACATTCAAACAAGAATCATTACAAAGGTTTCCACAATGATAGCCTCTTTTCAAAACACCTTTCAAAATCACACACAAAGCACCATTTCAAACAATTGAAGAGCACCATTTCAAACAATTGAAAAGCAAAGCAAGTGATCTAAGTAAGTAACTAAGATCCCATGGATAACCATGGATAGAAAGGGTGTTAATACCTTCCCTTTCTATAATCTACTCCCCGAACCCAAGAAAACATCTCAAAGGTCTTTCCTGTGCTTTTTGACCTTTCCTTAGGATAAAATAAAAAGTCGGTGGCGACTCTTGCTAAACCGAAACATTTGCAAACACAAATGCAAAATCCCAAGTCAGTTCTCCCACCGTATTACAGGAACCTTCAGGCCTTCCTAAATCTCACTCAAACTCCATTCACGATCTCAGCTGAAAGAGGTAAGAATTCCAACTTTTATCTCTTCATACAGGCATCCATTGGCCACGATTTGTGAAAGAAAAATGTAGTAATCATAGTGCTGAAGCCAACCATGTGCATAGATTCCATTTCTGTTCATTATGTGTAGAGAATTTTGGAGTTCAAATTTTTGTGAAAATTATGTTTAAAATTAAGGCTTTTAAAATTCGTTTTAATCTTTGATTGTTAGTTTCCATAAGTTACATGTCTGAAATCGTGGGAAAGAGTACTATCATTTTCATGTTGGAAGTTTCCATTTTCATGGAGAGATGAGAAAGATACAGAGCTTCTGACCAGCTTGAGGAAGAAGATGGAGTACAGGGCAAGGAAGCTTTTTACGTTATGTTTTTATTGTTTCATATAAACTAACGGATGTACAGCCACCCCAGTGGCAAGGTAGCGCGCTGGCAATGCCCAAGTCATGAGTTCGAACCTTGGCGCTACCTTTTACATTTTTCTCATTTTTTTCAGCTTCAATTTTGGTATTTTTGGCAATATGGGCTTGGTTCTCGGGCCTTCTATTTTTTTTCTAACACACTACCCCGTGTTTTCTTGCAGCACCCCCTGGCCCAATCTTTTTATTATTTATTTTATTTTCATATTTGTTTTATTAAAATATTTTCTTTAACACATAAAAATCATAAAAAATATAAAACATGATGATTTTGCATTTTTGTTTATTTTATTTTATTTCACATGAAAAAATATTTTTATTAAACTATATATTAATTATTTCTTTCTTAAATAAACTTTGTAAATATAATAGATTTAGTTTAACTATTTTATTCCTTTTTTATTCATACTTGTAAATATTTATTTTGACATATAAAAACTAAATATTTTCATAAGATATTATTTATTATTTTAATACCAAAAAATACATAAAAATAATACCTAAAGAACTTTATTTTCTTTTAAATTAGAAATTAGGGTTAACTTTGGTTTTCAAGAATTAATTTCTTTTTCTTAAGTTTATTAGATTTAAGTCAAAACTCTTTTGCATATGAAAAATAAAACAAAATATTTTTTTTCTTGCATATACATAACATTACATTTAATTTATAGTGTATCTTATTTATTCAAATATTCGTGCAAATTCGATTTGATTGTAATAGCTTAATTAGATTTACATTATTGCAAATCCCCATTTATAATTTGTATTCCCCCCCTCCCATAGAAATATTGTAATAGCGTAGTAATCTTTAAATTACGCAATTTACCTCTTTTATATATCATGCTAGTAATTAGGGTTTGTATGGCAAGATAAAAACAAATCAAATAGAAAACCCTAAATCCAAGACAAAATCAAAGCATGAAAATAACACACTTGTACACAAGCACCCTTAGGATTTCTCCACTTGGTTGCCTTATATAAAAATGACCATATTATGCATGCGAAGTATCTTGGCAAAACAAACAAGTATAAGATCATAGTCCCACGATGACGCTATTCAAAGTTGCCTTACAAAATGATCTTGGTCCCTCAAAAATGTTAAGATACTTTGCAATATTGCTAATCATGGTTATACGATGACCCACGCCTGTCCCGTTTACATCCAAAGATATGGTTGCTTACCAAATCAATGGTAAGACAACAATGTCAAAGGAATAGAAAATGAACAAGAAAGACATTTGAGTAGGTAGATTACTTCTAGTTACTTGCTCTATTTCCAAACATTTTACAAACATTGAAAGTATTTTCAAAAAGACAAACATCTTTGTATACATTCTTATGAACGAGAATCATTACAAAGGTTTCCTAAACAATGACCTCTTTTACAAAATACTTTCAAAAACCACACAAAGCACAATTTCAAAACAAAAAGCAAGTGATCTAGCAAGTAACTAAGAGTCCATGAAAAAACATGGATGAAAAGGATGCTAATACCTTCCTTTTTCATAATCTACCCCCCGAACTCAAGAAACAATCTCAAAGGTTTTTCCTGTGCTTTTCACCTTTCCTTTTGGATAAAAGAAAAGTCGGTGGCAACTCTTGCTAAACCGCAACATTTGCGATAAAACGCAAAACCCTCAAGTCAGTTCTCCCACCGTATCACAATACTATTACACAATTATTTCACACTATTACATAATTATAATGAAATATTTATTTAAAAAATCCTATTTCATAATTAATTAAAAAATACTATTACATAATTATAATGATATATTTTTTTAAATAAATATTGAAATATATAATTATAAAAAAAGTGTAATTCATATATATATATATATATATATATATATATATATATATATATATATATATATATATATATATATATATATATATATATATATATATATATATATAATATATATATATATATATATATATATATATATATATATATATATATATATATATATATTAGTTGGTTAATTCTTGTTATGTTATTATTTAGGCTTTTAACATATTTGGGCCTGGACTATTTTGCCTATATATAGGACCATTGTATTTGTAATGATAACAAGTAGCAACAGTAATA